TTTAACATTTTTAATTCTTAGATAATTCAACTTTTCTATTTTTCAGTTTTTCGATCATTGAAAAATAACTACAAAAATCGTGACTAATAATATGCCAAAAATTAATACAAAGTAGAACACAATACATATTTCTAAAACGTTAAAATAAATGCTTTTTAGAGTCGATATTCGTCTGAACGCTTTCTGGTCTGTAGATCAAACAAGTTCTCAGGCAACGTTCCATTACTCATAATATATAAAAAAAAAACTTTTGAGCCCGTTTGAAGTCTTAGATTCTACCTCTTGTCAAAATATAACTCATTTCTTATTTTACAGTAGATAAAATAAGTCAGTGAAATGGAGAAAGAAAAGAAAGTGGGCGGGGCTGACTTTAACTTTTTTCTACAGTCTTCTATCTTATAAGCAAGCAGTAGCCCCGCCCACCCACCCCCTCTTCTTTTTAGTGACCACTCTTCTAATATTGTTCCGTCTTATCTTACCAAGCACTAGACCCGCCCACCCGCCCTTTATTTTTTTGGAAGCTATGTCATTTGCCAAAATCCGTCTTATCTTACTCTACCACAAACATATTTTTTATTTATTTTTTTAAATTCGTATTTCTTCCATTTTTCACAAATAACACTAAACTCATACATGAAACTTTCTTTAAAAAAAAAAAATAAATAAATAAATAAAACAAGGAAAATTAAACACAAACATGTATTTCGATTTTTCAAGTTTTCAAAGTGTTTCAATTTATCAATTTTTTAATTTCTCAATTTTTGGATATTTCTTCCAATTTTGAAATTTTTCAATTTTTCGATTCTTCAATTTTTCTTATACATATTTTTGAATTTTTCGATATTTCAGTATTTTGATTTTCCGACTTTTCGATTTCTTGACTACTGCATTTTTTGATTCCTCGATTTGGTACATTTCGAATTTTCAATTTTTCGTTTTTAACTTTTGATATATCAATTTTTCGACTGTTTTATACTTGGATTTAAAAATTTTTGCAACTTTTCGTTATTTTAATTTTTCAACTTTTAAAATTCTGGATTTTTCGTTTTCTTGAGCTTTCAGTTCGTCTTCTTCTTTTCCGAAATTTTAAATATTCGATTTCTCGATCCTCTGATTTTTCGGTTTCTCAATTTCTCAGTTTTTGAATTTTTAGACTTTTCGATTTTTCGATTTCTCTATTTTTGATTTTTTACTTTTCGGTTTTTCGATTATTTTATTTTTCAGTTGTGATTTTTCAGTTTTAAAATTTTGGAGTTTTGATTTCTCGATTTTTCAATTTTTCGATATATCAATTTGTCAATGCTTTAAATTTTAGATTTTTCAATTTACCAATTTTTCAATTTTTAACTTTTAGATTTTTCTGTTTTAGCCTATTTCGGATTCTCAATTTTTCGACTTCTCTACTTTTGGACTCCTTTAGTCCTCGATCCATTTTTTTTTTCAATTTCTCGATGTCCCAGTTTTTGAATTTTTCGATGTTTCGATTTTTTACATTTTACTTTCAATTTTTTGATGTTTCGATTGTTCAGTTGTCTGATTTTTCAATTTTTTAAATTTTGGTGTTTCAATTTCTCGATTTTTCAGTTTTTTCTTTTCTAAATTTTAGATATCCGAATTTGTATTTTTTTGATGTTCGGATTTCTCGATTTTTCAATATTTCGATATTTTGTATTTTTCAATTTTGGGATTTTGCGATTTTTTTGTTTCGATTTTTTGTCTACTTGGTTTTTCGATTTTTAGACTATATGTCAACTTTTCAATTTTTACATTTCTCGATTTTTCAGTTCTTCAATATTTTAATTTTTCAATTTTTAAAATTCTTCAATCCTCTTATTTTTCGATTTCTCGATGTCTGATATCTTGAATTTTCATTTTTTCAGTATTTGGATTCTTGGATTTCTCGATTTTTCGACTTTTTGGATTTTTAGTATTTCGTTCCTTAAATTTTAGATTTTTCAGTTCTTCGACTGTTTAATAATTCGATTTCTCAATTTTTCAACTTTTCGATACTTCAATTTTCCGAATTTTTAAATTTTCGATTTTAAAATTTTTCGTTTTTAAAATATTTCAATTTTTCAATTTTTTTATTTCTCAATTTTTGGATATTTCTTCCAATTTTGGAATTTTTCAAATTTTTGACTCTTCAATTTTTCCTATACATATTTTTGAGTTTTTCGATATTTCAGTGTTTTCGTTTTTCGGCTTTTCGATTTCTTGACATTTGGATTTTTTGATTCCTCTGTTTTGTACATTTTGAATTTTCAATTTTTGGTTTTTAACTGTTTTATACTTGGATTTCTTAATTTTTCAACTTTTAAAATTCTGGAATTTTCGTTTTCTTGGGCTTTCAATTCTTCTTCTTTTCCAAATTTTTAAATATTCAATTTGTCAAATTTTTGATGTCTCGGTTTATCGAGATTTGGACATTTCGATTTTTTATTGCTCAATTTCTCGATTATCAATTTTTCAATTTTTAACTTTTCCATTTTTCAATTTTGACTTATTTCGGTTTCTTAATTTTTCGACTTTTCGACTTTTCAACTCCTCTATTTCTCGATCCTTTGATTTTTCGATTTCTCGATTTCTCAGTTTTTGAATTTTTTGACGTTTCGATTTTTTACTTTTCGATTTTTCAGTTATGTGATTTTCAGTTTTAAAATTTTGATTTCTGGATTTTTTACTTTTGTGATTTTTTGTTTTTCGTTTTTGAAATTTTAGATTTTTCAGTTTTTCGACTGTTTAATATTTAGTTTTTGAATTTTTTGACGATTTGATTATTTGATTTTTCATTTTCGGTTTTTCGATTTTTCGATTTTTCAGTTATGTGAATTTTCAGTTTTAAAATTTTGACTTCTGGATTTTTAACTGTTTAGATTTTTCAGTTTTTCGACTGTTTAATATTTCGATTTCTCAATTTTTTAACTTTTCGATGCTTTAATTTTTAAATTTTTTTAAATCTACATTTTTTGATTTCTCGACTTTTCAGTTCTTCTATTTTTCAAATTATCAGTTTTCCGAATTTTTAAATTTTCGGTTTTCCAATTTTTCATTTTTGAAATACATATTTCAATTTTTAAACATTCTAATTCCTCAATTTTTGGATATTTCTTCAAATTTTTGATTTTTCGATTCTTCGATTTTCCAATTTCTTGATATTTGGATTTTTTGATTCCTCGATTTTTTTTGATTTTTGATTTTGATTTTCGACTGTTTTATACTTAGATTTCTTAATTTTTCAACTTTGCGTTATTTTAATTTTTCAACTTTTAAATTTATGGATTTTTTGTTTTCTCGAGCTTTCAGTTCTTCTTCTTCTTATCCGAAATTTTAAATGTTCGACTCTTCAAATTTTTGATGTCTGGAGATATCGAGATTCCGACATTTCGATTTTTCGATTGTTCAATTTCCCGATTTATCAATTTTTCAATTTTTAACTTTTCCATTTTTCGATTTTGGCCTATTTCGGATTCTCAATTTTTCGACTTTTCGACTCCTTTAGTTCTCGATCCATTGATTTTTCAATTTCTCAATGTCCCAGTTTTTGGATTTTTCTGTTTCGATTTTTCGGTTTTTCGATTTTTTACATTTTGACTTCTAATTTTTCGATGTTTCGATTGTTCAATTACCCCATTTTTCAATTTTTCATTGACTTTTAGATTTTTCAATTGTTTTTATTTCTAATTTTTAGGTATTTTTTTATGTTTCGATTTTTTGTCAACTTGGTTTTTCGATTTTTAAGTATGTCAACTTTTCAATTTTTACATTTCTCGATTTTTCAATTCTTCAGTATTATAATTTTTCTATTTTTAAAATTCTTTCATTATTTTTCTGTTTCTCGATGTCTCAGATTTTGGATTTTTCGATTTTTCGATTTTTTACTTTTTTCAGTTTTTTAAATTTTGGAGTTTCGATTTCTCGATTTTTCAATTTTTCTACATTTTAATTTTTCCTTGTTTTAAATTTCAGATTTTTCGATTTCTCGATTTTTTAAGTTTTCGTTTCCTCAGTTATGGAAACTTTTCAATTTCTGTTTTTTTCAATTTTTTGATTTTTAAAATTTTTGAGTCTTAGATAATTTCTTGTAGTTATTTTTCAATCATTGAAAAATAACTACAAAAATCGTGACTAATAATTAATATGTCAAAAATTAATACAAAGTAGAACACAATGCATATTTCTAAAACATTAAAATAACTGCTCTTTAGAGTCGACATTGGTCTGAACGCGTTCTGGTCTGTAGATCAAACAAGTTCTCAGGCAACGTTGCATTACTCATAATATAAAAAAAAACTTTTGAGCCCGTTTGAAGTCTTAGATTCTACCTCTTGTCAAAATATAATTCATTTCTTATTTAACAGTAGATAAAATAAGTCAGTGAAATGGAGAAAGAAAAGAAAGTGGGCGGGGCTGACTTTAACTTTTTTCTACAAAGTCTTCTATTTTATAGGCAAGCAGTAGCCCCGTCCACCCACCCCCTCTTCTTTTTAGTGACCACTCTTCTAATATTGTTCCGTCTTATCTTAGCAAGCACTAGGCCCGCCCACCCGCCCTTTATTTTTTTAGAAGCTATGTCATCTGCCAAAATCAGTCTTATCTTACTCTACCACAAACATATTTTTTATTTATTTGAAACTTTCGTTTAGAAAAAAAAATAAATAAATAAAACAACAAAAAATAAACACAAACATGTATTTCGTAGGAAATAACGTAAACAAAATTTTTCAACAAGAATGATAAATCAAAGCCTACTTACAATATAACTATGAATAAAAAACAAATAGACGTCTTTGATGAAACAAATACAAATAAATTAAAATAAATACGCATAACTTAAAAACCACTAAAACTTAAAAATAATTACCCTAAAAGTAAACTTAAACCGTACCACCAACAGAAACTCAATTACTGGCCGCGAATTTCGAACGAGATGATAACATCCACTCAACCAAAAACGACAAAGCTGCACACCTAGCAATCTACACAATTACACCATTACCAACCTCTGCACTAAAAGTAACTTGAGGTAAATGTAGTTTTCGCCGGTTGTAATCAACGGAAGCGGTATTAGTGGAGCAGACCGTGGAAGGACGTCTTTGCACCAAATTACTGGTCACGGGAAGCCCAGTCGTGCTGCAAGTCCCTGTACTATTCAAACGCCTCACACTTGGCACAGAACCATTTTTTGATGTGTTTCTTCTAAATATTTCTAAGGTTAATTGACTTCCATACGACCTGGAAACACCAAACATAAACATAATATAAATAAGTAGTAATGATGATGATGATAATACCTAATTAAATTCAAGATGTCGATCTCCGGCATCATGACGACGTTGTGCTTGTCGACGAAGATGATGTAGTCCCCCGGGAGGATGCCGGCGCGGTCCGCCGGGAGCCCCTTCTCGACGCGCTCTATCCTGGGGGGGTGCGTCCACACCACGGAGAAGCCGAAGCCGGACTTCGGGGGCTTCGCCAGCTTCTTGGTGTGCGTGAAGGGCGTCCGGCCGTTCTTGTTGCCCGTGGCCTTCCGCTGCATGGCGGCCGGGATGGCCTCGGGCCCTTCCATGGGGTCGAGTTCCAGGTAGCGGAGGAACAGGTTCTCGTCTGCGTACTTCTGCTGTTCGCTGAGGATCGCTTTGCTCGTTGCCTTTTTGAGGTCGTTGTCGAGCCCGTCCAGGCTCATGATCTCCTCCACGCTCGACTGGCTTTCGCACATTTTGGGCTCTTCTGCGCCTTCCGGCTCCAGTTCGCACGCCTCGAGTTGGCTTTCGAAGGTTATCGGGACGTTCTGGCAGCGTCCCGTCGACTGCGCCAGCAAACGATACGAACCGCTGATTTCCTGGAAGGAGGGAGCGATTAGATGGGGCACGGGGACGAAGCGCTGAATTTGTGGATGGCAATTTTCCAAAAGAGTTTTTTTATTTCAATTGGAAGTTAATTAAATTTCAAGAAGAAATCGCTACACCAAAATTAAATTAAATATCACAAGAACTGAAAATTCTATATCAAGGAGACATTATTTTTGAAATCATCGGCCGGTAAAATAAGTCTAGCAATTTAATGGTTCATAATTATTGATTATATTAATTATATTTTATTACTACTGAGCACTGAAAATTTGAACTTTTGCCAAAGATGTCAAAATCCAATTTTTAAAATTTCCCAAAACTGGCCATATTCAATTGGTGATTTTGGGAAAGTAGTTGGAATTTTCAAGAAATATTGTCGAAAATGAATTCTGCAAGTCGAAATCAACAAAAATCATATCTAGTGAATTTTTTAAGGTGCCCGGAAAAGATAAAAAATTTCAAAAATTTGAAAATTTGAGCTATATAAAAATTCACAAAAAATCTGGAGATATGGATATTGAAAAGCTGAATCGAGAACGTAATCTATTGCAGGTTCCAGACCAATTTTTTTTTATTTTCTGTTTATAAGTTTTTTTTTCCACATATGGCCATATTTATTTTGTAATTTTGGAAAAATGCCTACAATTTTTAAATAAATATTGCCATTAATGATTTCTGTAAGTAGAAATTAACAAAAAAATATATATCTTTGGATAATTTTCGGAAGTTCTAGAAAAAGTCAAAATTTTTCAAAATTTGAAAATTTAACCTTTTGGCAAAGTTGCCTAAAATTCTATAAAATAAATCTGGGATATAAATGGATGAGTTGATATGAAAAGCATAGGTCAAAATTTTTGAAATTTTCGATTTTGAAATCAAATTTTTTAAATTTTTCGAAAATTTTGAAAGGTGCTCGGAAAAAGCTCAGAAATTTCAAAAAATTTGGAAATACGATTATTGAAGAGGTGAATCGAAAAACAGCCTTTTGCGGGTTCCAACCCAAGATTTTTTTAATTTTCGGTTTCTAAATATATTTTTTTAATTTCCTCAAAATTGTCATACATATTTTAATTTGTGATTCTGGAAAAGTGGTTGGAATTTTGAAAGAAATATTGCCGAAAATGATTTCTGCAAGTCGAAATCAACAAAAAAATGTCCTTTGATAATTTTCGGTCAAAATTTTTAAAAGTTTTAAAATTTAAGCTTTTGTCAAAGTTGCCTAAAAATCTACAAAAAAAATCTAGGGTATAGATACCGATTAGCTGATTTGAAAAAGATAGCCCGTTTCTGGTTCCAAGTGAAGATTTTTGAAATTTTCGGTTTCAAAACCAAATTTTTAAAATTTCCCCAATATAGCCATTTTTCTGTTTCGATATTTTGGCAAAATGGTTGGAATTTTCACAGAAATGTTTCCGAAAATGATTTCTGAATATCGAAATCAATAAATCACATCTGGGTGATTTTTAAAGGTGTTCGGAAAAAGTAAAAAATTTCAAAAATTTGTAAATTTGAGCTGTCTAAAAATTCACAAAAAATTCGGAGATATGGACATTGAAGACATGAATCGAAAAATATAGTCAGTTTCTGGTTCTACCAAGAAAGTTTTAATTTTTGGCTTCTAAATATGTTTTTTTTATTTTCCCCATAAAGGTCACATTTTATTTTGTGATTTTGCAAAAGTGGTTAGAATTAAAGAAAAAATGTTGCCGAAAATGATTTCTGCAAGTCGAAATCAACAAAAAAATGTCTTTAGAAAATTTTGAGAAGTTCTGGAAAAAAGTCAAAATTTTACCTTTTTGCCAAAGTTGCCTAAAAATCTATAAAAAAAAATCTAGGGTACAGATACCGATAAACTGATTTGAAAAAGATAGCCCAATTCTGGTCCCAGGTCAAGATTTTTGAAATTTTCAGTTTCAAGATTGAATTTTTAAAATGTCCCAAAAATGCCCATTTTCAATTTGGGAATTTTGGGAAAGCGGTTGGAATTTTCACAGGAATGTTTCCGAAAATGACTTCTGATTGTCGAAATCAATAAATCACGTACATGTATTTTTTGAATGTGTTAGGAAAAGGTCAAAAATATCAAATATTTGAAAATTTAAACTATTTAAAAATTCACAAAAAATTCCGAGATGTGGATATCGAAGAGCTCAGTCGAAAAACGTAGCCTGTTGCTGGTTCCAGACCGAGATTTTTTTTTTATTTTCGGGTCGTAAATCATTTTTTTTAATTTCTCCAAAATGACCATATTTTATTTTCTGATTTTGGACGAGTGGTTGGAATTTATTAAAAAAATGTTGCCGATTAAAAATTTAACCTTTTGTCAAAGTTGCCTAAAAATGTATTAAAAAAAATCTGAGGTATAGATACCGATAAACTTTTTAAATTTTCGATTTCATGATCGAATTTTTAAAATGTCCCAAAAATGGCCATTTTCAATTTGGCAATTCTGGAAAAGTGATTGGAATTTTCATAGAAATGTTTCCGAAAATGATTTCTGAATGTCGAAATCAATCAATTATGTCTAGGTAATTTTTAAAGGTGCTCGGAAAAGGTCAAACATTTCAAAAATTTGAAAATTTGAGCTGTCTAAAAATTGACAAAACATTCAGAAATATGGATATGGAAGAGTTGGGTCGAAAAACGTAGCCTTTTGCTTTTTCCAAACCAAATTTTTTTAATTTTCAGTTTCTAAATATATTGTTTTTAATTTCCTCAAAATGGTCATATTTTGTTTCGGGATTTTGGAAAACTGGTTGCAATTTTTTAAAATATTTTGCCGAAAATGATTTATACAAAGTCGAAATAAACAAAAGAATGTCTTTATATAATTTTGGGAAGTTCTCGGAAAATGTCAAAATTTTTAAAATTTGGAAATTAAAGCTTTTGGTAAAGTTGACTAAAAATCAAGAAAAATTTTGAGATATGATGAGCTGAGTTGAAAAACGTAACTCGTTTCTAGTGTCAGATTAAGTTTTTCAAGATTTTCGGTTTCAAAATCAAATTTTTAAAACTTCCGAAAAATGGTCATTTTTAGTTTGAGAATTTTGGTAAAATGGTTGAAATTTTCACAGAGATGTTTCCGAAAATGACTTCTGCATGTCCAAATCGACAAAATCATGTCTAAGTAATTTTTGAAGGCGCTTTGAAAAAGTCAAAAACTTCGAAAATTTGGGAACTTGAGCTGCCTAAAAATTTCCAAAAAATTTGGGGTTATGGATATTGAAGAGCTGAACTGAAAAACGTAGTTTGTTCCAGACCAAGTTTTTTTTTAATTTTCGGCCTCTAAATATATTTTTTTTATTTTCCCAAATCTGCCAGATTTTATTTAGTGATTTTAGAAAAGTGGATGGAATTTTTAAAGAAATGCTGCCGAAAATGCTGTCTGTAGGTTGAAATTAACAAAAAATATCTCTAGATAATTTTCGGGAAAAGATATTTTTTTTTTATTTGAAATTTAAGCTTTTGGCAGTTGCCTGAAAATACATAAAAAATCTGAGATATATACATATCGATGAGCTGATTCGAAAAACAGTCCGTTTCTGGTCCTAAGTCAAGATTTTGAAATTTTAGGTTTCAAAATCAAATTTCTAAAATTTCCCAAAATGGTCATTTTTCACTTTGGCGATTTTTGGAAAGTGAATCTGCAGAGAAATGTTTCCTAAAATGACTTCTGAACGTCGAAATCAATAAATCGCGTTTAGGTAATTTTTAAAGGTGCTCGGAAAAAATAAAAAAATTCAAAAATTTGAAAATTTGAGCTGTCTAAAAATTCATATGGCCATATTTTATTTTGTGATTTTGGAAAAATGCCAACAATTTTTAAATAAATATTGCCGAAAACGATGACTGCAAGTCGAAATCAACAAAAAATATTTTTGGATAATTTTCGAAGTTCTGGGAAAAAGTCAAAATTTTTAAAACTTTGAAAATTTAACCTTTTGGCAAAGTTGCCTAAAATTCTATAAAATAAATCTGGTATCTAAATGGGTGAGTTGATATGAAAAGCATAGGTCAAAATTTTTGAAATTTTCGATTTTGAAATCAAATTTTTTAAATTTTTCGAAAATTTTGGAAGGTGCTCGGAAAAGCTCAGAAATTTCAAAATTTGAGCTGTCTAAAAATTGTCAAAAAATTCGGAGATATGATTATTGAAGAGGCGAATCGAAAAACATAGCCTTTTACGGGTTGCAACCCAAGATTTTTTTAATTTTCGGTTTCTAAATATATTTTTTTAATTTCCTCAAATTTGTCATATTTTAATTTGTTATTTTGGAAATGTGGTTGGAATTTTTTAAGAAATAATGCCGGAAATGGTTTCTGCAAGTCGAAATCAACAAAAAAATGTCTTTAGATAATTTCTGTCGAAATCAATAAATCACGTCTTGGTAATTTTTAAAGATGTTCGGAAAAAGTAAAAAAAATCAAAAATTTGTAAATTTTAGCTGTCTAAAAATTCACAAAAATTTCGGAGATATGGACATTGAAGACCTGAATCGAAAAATATAGTCAGTTTCTGGTTCTACCAAGATTTTTTAATTTTTGGTTTCTAAATATGTTTTTTATTTTCCCCAAAAAGGTCACATTTTATTTTTTGATTTTGCAAAATTGGTTAGGATTAAAGAAAAAATGTTGCCGAAAATGATTTCAGTAAGTCGAAATCAATAAGGAAGATATCTTTAGATAATTTTCTGAAATTCTGGGAAAAGGTAAGAATTTTTAAAAATTTGAAAATTTAAGCTTTGGGCAAAGTTGTTCCAAAATCCATAGAAAAAATCTGGGATATAAATGGATGAGATGATAGGAAAAGTAGCCTGCGTCTGTTCACAGGTAAATTTTTTTTAAATTTTCGGTTTTACAAATCAAATTTTTGAAAGGGCTCGGAAAAGGTCAAAAATTTCAAAATTGAATTGTCTAAAAATTGACAAAAAATTCGAAAATATGATTACTGAGAGGTGCATCGAAAAAAAAAGACTTTTGGGGGTTCTAA